CAGGTTATACGGGACCATACATACCACCTTCACCGAGAAAAAGATTGTTTAAACACTTTCACAACTTCTCACATCCTGGACGCCGAGCTACCCTCAAGTTGATTAGCAATCGTTTTGTCTGGCCAAACATGCGTACAGATATAAAAAGAAAACTGGACTCAAACCTGTTTAAAGTGTCAAAAAAGCAAAGTAACTAGATATACAAAATCTTCTCCTAGGCAATTTATCAAACCAGCCGGTAGGTAGGTACAAAAACCTCCACATCACTATAGTGGGACCATTACCAGAAGCAAATGACCATCATAGTCTACTTACTATCATTGATCGATTTACAAGATGTTCTGTCACTGTTACTCTAAAGGATATATCTGCAGAAACAATCTCTTAAAGCATCTTACATGAATGGATAAGTTTTTGGTTGTCCCTCAATAATAACAACAAATCAAGGATCTCAATTTCAATTTACACTTTTCAACAAATTCACAAAACTAATAGTCAAGTATATAATAACTACATCCCATCATCCTTGTGTCAATGGCTTAGTTGAACCCTTTCACAGGCAACTTAAACAGCACTAACAGCAAATAACTGTTCCAGGACATGGTTACAAAATTTACCACTCATTTTGTTATCCATCAGTAATGTAATCAAGGAAGATTTAGGATGCACAGCATCTAAATTAGTCTTTGGGACATCAGTAACACTAACAGTTTTGCACTTAAACCAGTCACCTACAGCCAACCACTTTTTTTTGTGCAAAATATCAAACAAAGAATGAGTGATTCAGTTTTCACACCCACTTTAACACAAGCAAAATATCTTTACACACCAAAGGATCTACTCAGCTGTGAATATATTTTCTTATGAAATGAAATAAAAAGACCTCTTTGCCCTACTTACTCAGGACTTTTTCAAGTGGCTGATAGAAAACCAAATTATTTTACCATTATAAAAATGGGTAAACAAAATACTGTCTCCATAGACAGACTAAAACCAGCATACTTGGATTTACCTACAAAGAACAGTACAACAGAACACACCATACGCTCACTGAATACCAAGGTGTGCAAACCATTTTCCACACCAGCAAACATACCCACAAATGTCACTAAAAAATTGGGTATAAAAGTAAATTGTCCTACCCACTTCAAAACATATATTAAATATTGAAAAATATTTTCAATATTTATCAATCTGCAGAGCATTTTATAGGATATAATTTCCTATATTTTACAGCAAATAAGTGATGCACAAATAAATAAGAGATGCCTACTAATAAGTCCTAAAAAAAATCAGTAGATACAAAAAAGAATTTACAATTCTGTAAAACCACAGCTCCAAAATTAAATGGCAGTTTCTGGAATCTGATTGGATATGACAAGTTATGTGATGTGCTCTCTACAACGTCCATGCAGTTGAACTCCAAATGACCTGGAAATAAGTCAGGGCTTGGGTTACTTAGTACATTCCTGCATGGAACTTAGATAGAATGCGTGAGTCAGTCACCGACTTGCCATAAGCCATAAAAACGGCTTGTCAATGGCAGTCAAGCATCATAGCTGAAACAGAACAGTCAGCGACAGATCATCAAAAAGGAACAGTCAGTAAACAAGGCCCAGCTGTGACATATGTTACCATGACAATGCATCAATCAACAATGATCTTTCTACATACAAAGCTGTGACAAAAGTAAGTTTTGCCTCAGTTTCTCTTCACTCACTTTATTCGTTTTATTAGCATGTGCTACACACACACACATATTGGCATACATAACTTTGAACTTTGCAGACTAACTTGCAACAAAATAACTTTGAACTTTTTAGGCTTCATTTGCAATCAAATACAGTAGAATCCCTGACAACTGGACTAAGAAGGCCTTCCGGATATGAGGAATTGGTTACAAAGTTCAGATATGAGGGGTTATATTTGGATTAAAATAAAAGAACTGAAATCAGGTTTAACATTTATTTTCAATGTTTTATAGTAAACAAAATAAGCTAATGGTGAGTGAAATATAACAGAATTGAGTTTAAGGAAAAAAAAATAAATTATGTAATGTTAATGAAATTACATTAAATTAAGTATGCCACGTATGCAAAACAAATAATGTAACAAGGATTTTTTAATCACTGTTGCATGATGATTCTTTCTCTTCTAATGTCATTCTCAACTTTTTTCCACATTTCGTTTTGCTTTCCACTTTTTGCAATAACTCCAAAGTAGTTCTTTTCCTCTTATTCCCATCATCTTTTGCACCAATACAAGCCATTAGGGTGAAATAAGCATAAGCAATTATCTAAAGTAAATTTCCTGAAAAAAAATTTCAAATCAGTTACACATCACCTAAATAATTCAAATATACACATCAAAATCATGTCCAGATATGCAGGACTCTGGATATGAGGGATTCCAGAGGTGAGGGATTCTACTGTAACTTCAAACTTTGCAGACTCACCTGTGACAAAAATCATTTTTGAACACTCAAACTATTGGTCTCTTCATGGCCACAACAAAGAACATTTATTTTCAACATGTATATTTATATGTTGAAAATAAATATTCTTTGTTGTACCACTGTATAAAGGTTATGGTTATATTTAGTTTGGTCTTCTTGCTTTTCTGCAAAGAGCATTTCCTCATGTTTTTATTTTGTGTTGTATTTGGGGACACAACACTCGGATTTTATTTTTCCACCTAAAATCCAGGTAGACTGACCCCACACTTACAATACATGGAATTACTAAAAAAAAAAAAAATGCATTTTAAACAATTCATGTATCTTCTTTAAAGTTAAATTTTGGTTTTATTTGAAAGATAATAATCTAAAGTTAATCCATAAAAAATAAAGAGAAAACCAAGTAATAATTTTACATATTCAAAAATTTTCATTTTAATGAAATTATTCATTGCTGTGTTTTTTAGTAAATCTCAACATTTTCTTTGGTTCAATTCATGATCACTTGTAACAAAAATATTATAAAATATTTTTAATTATGTCCAAAACATTTTTAAATGAAAATAAAGGAAATATTGAACTTAAAAGAACAATTTATTTTTATCATATAAATTCCTAAGTCTTAAATATAAGAAACTGTTAAATAGGAAGAAAACAAGCTGATAAAATATATAAGCAAAAATGGCAGTGTTATCTAAGTAAACACCATTAAGTCAACACTCTGAGTGGAAGATTGTTAGTGAAGAATATAGTTCAGAATTTTATTTCTGATTTTCATTTTTAATCTTGCATAGAATAAATAATCAAACTGTTGTAAAATAGAGAAAATACATAAAATTATTTTAAAAAAGTTCACACTCAAAAATTCCATTAAACATCACATTTTTCGATTTTTCAAACACATCTTTATTTTATATCAAATTTTTCAGCAGGATCAAACATGTGAAAGAATTTTAAAATCATACTGTAAAAATAGAAGTTAATTTTTTACAAACATATATCAGATTTTTTTCTGTGAAAACCAAAAATATACAGTATATTTTATTAAAATTAGGTATTAACAGCTCTCAATAAAAATAATTTGAGTTTTATTGAAATGTATAATTTCAGACTATATTTTTTAAAAAATTATTCAATATAAAGTTCATTCATTAATGAATAAATGATGAAAATCTTCATGAAATCTGATAATTCATCCATTTTTTTTATATTTTTTTAAATCAAGGGCTAGTGGGTTTTTTTTTTTCATATGTCAAAAGTGCACTTGATTTGTGACTTTTGGCTTATTCATTTGTAGGAATTGTAAATGATATACTACAGCTGACTGATTGTACAACCAATAAAAGGTTGAGTAAACATCAGAGATATTTAGATTTCTCTAATATTGTGCATATGGTAATGGAAACTTCTAATCTAAATCAACCTAAGAGGTGAATATAAAAAATAAGTTGTTATTAAATGCCACCAGGTGGTAAAGAAATCTTTATTTAGTATTTTTTTTCCTCAAAACATAAATCAGGTTAAAACTCATTGATTTAAAATGTTTACCTTTTCTCAACTGAGATTTGTACAATATGTAAAAATTATCAAAAAGCATTTCCAAAACTAAAATAAATATTTTAAGTAGATGCAATCTGAATTCACTTCCCAGTTTTTATTTTCCAGATGCAGCCTTTATATAAATATAAAACATTTCTTTTTTTTATCAGAAGTTACAGGGTTATTGATATTTTTTTTATTTATGCTTTCTGATTTAGAATAGAAATCTTAGCTTCCTGACTGAAGTTTCCATCCCCTCTGCTCTTCTGCTTTGACAAGTCCATTCTCCAACTTAATATCCCAACCAAAAAGAAACTAATAACCTTTTTTCTTCGCAGAACATATAAGTCCCTTGCAAACATTGCAACACTTAAATCCAAAAAAGAATTCACCACTTTCATAAATAACATTAGTGCATTTAATATTTTATTTTTGTTTCAAATTGAACAGCATGGTTTGAATTCTTTTTTTTGTATGAGAATACCTATGCTGTTAAATGTTTTTCTTATTGTATTTTAATTTCCTACTTTAAAAAAAATAATAAGAAATACATCCACAAAAATCTTTAAACGCCCCCCCCCTACATCTCCACAGAAAATTAATGCCATACTGATTGACTGTGTTGATATCTCTTAAGTACCAAAATACCAGTTCGTGTGTTAGTGTTTACTAAACTTAACTGTGCAGGATATGACTAAATGGTGTGTGCATTGGGTCAGGAAAAGTATGTTATTCCAACCAATGAGAAATAACTGTTTGTCTTCAAATAAATAAATAAATTAGGATCCAGAATCTTTTTATGACCTAGTTTTTATAAATCTAGTTCTTGATGAATTGTAGGTCCTTTTAACTTTCAATAATCAGCAACATTAAGTACTCCTTACCGGTATATTTGCCCAGAAATTTTTTTTAAATTATTTTTCATACATTCATAGTGATTAAGGCATTAGAGTAATCTCCCCTTTTAGGATTCTCAAAGCAAAAGTGATTACAACACTTCGCAAACATGTCGAAAAAAGCTCAGTACCTTCTGGAGGCACACATAAGTGATATTTTGAATAACGTGGATACTTTTCTATTCGACTGCGATGGTAAGTAAAGCTAATTTAAAATAACTTGCATTTCATATAAATGTCAAGTCGTCTAAATAAATCGATATTAGTTCGATTCCAGCTAATTCAGAACCGGTTTGTTGAAGGTCAAGGTCGATTTTAATTCCACTGTTTACACTTTTTAAATTATCTTTTACGTTTTTATTTTCAACTTTGAATTACGTCTGGATTTATGATTTTTTTAATTCAACTTTTTTTCTTTTTTTTTTTACGAACATTTTTATATTTTTCTCTTCCTTTAATTGTGACTAAAACTTCTATCAAGGTCGTTTAAAAAAATAAAATTCATTTAATGATAAAAATTTGTTTCTGTTTTTCAGAAAAAAGTATGAAAACTTAAAAAAAGAATAAAATAGTGATTTTTTTTTTTAATATCTTCTGAAAAATAAAACTAAACAATATTAATTCTTCTCGGTCTAATTATTTCTAGAGTGACGGATTTCATTTAACAGAAAAAACAATACATTATTTTGTTTTGTCATTTTTTTTCTGCTTTAACAAATTTCACTTTCATTTTATTTGGATTGGCGTTCACTGACATAGCACCTGTACCTACAACTTAACGTTGGGAATTCTGCTGATTTAAAATCTGAAAGTCAAGAATAAATCCTTTAATTATGTGATTGTTTCCTTTATAAAAAAAAAAAAAAAAACTTGAAGCACTTTTCAAATTGATTTTGTTATTTTATCTCTAAACAAAAATATATCCTTCATGTGGAATACTCGAACATACGATTTCAGAATGGGAGCCTACTGACTGTTACAGTCGGTCTTGTCTTGTAAAATTTCCAATATTCAGTTGAAAATATACTTCACTCTTTCATTACTTTAAAAAAATATATTAAATTCCTACCTACGCCAGGTAAAAACACTATGAAGCAACAATAGTTTTATTAAGCAGGAACTGTTTAATGTTTTGTGTTCTGGCGTAAGACTAAGAGTTGGATTTGTCTGCATTGGAAACTTTAATGTACGTGATGAATGAATAGGTACTGATCACTAGAGCCATTGAGGAATATGAAACTAACCCCAACCGCCAAGCAGGCCAAAGAAAAAATGCTCGTGCTGTTTAAATCCAGTTCTTACAGACAATTATTTTTCTCTCTCCCCCACACATACATGCCCTGTCGGTAGGACCTAGAGCATCAAACTGCATCCCCTGAAAATTGTAAGACCCCTCCCCCAAAAAAGAGGGGTCATTTGCTAAGTAAAATAGTAAAAGTAAATACTTACTCAAATTTCAAATATTTAATTTACCTATTCCCGAATCAAGTAATTACTTGCAGATTCAGATAAAAAAATTTACTGATTTCGTTCCGACATTAAAAAAATTCGACAGGGACTGTATCGTAAAAAAGGTAAAAAAAAAAAAAAAAAAAGTAAACATTAACTCCCCGATTTGTAATGCTATTTTTTTTTTTAATTCAAAATAATTTTTTACATACACAACAAATATTCGAATCAAAATAGGATATTCTATTCACTTTTTTTTTAACAAAATATACCTTATGAAAATTTTTGAGGCTAGTTTAGAAATTAATTTCAACTGAAAAAAAGGTACCCCCCTATTTTACTTTAGTACGCTTTTTTGAGTTGTTGTGGTAAACATTAGTTTTTTTTTTTCTACACAAGACAGACACATTTTTAGTTTCATTCAGTATTTAAAAGTTCTTGTACGTTTGTGTACGAACTGATCTCTTTAATTTTCTTTCTTGTTAAACCTGTAATTTCCCGAATGAATCATCCGAACTCTTCTCTACAAGTGTGACAATTTGTACCTCTAAGGTCGTTAAGTCTTCAATAGGAGGAATAATCATAGTAATTTTAGGTTTGGTTTGTTTCCTTGTAGTTAGTTATTTTCATAATACTTAACAGTTTAATACCCCGCCTAGGCGGAAACGGTCTTTTAGCAAATTTTAATGATTTGGAAGAAACATTTTTTTACGTTTCACTTTTTAAATAATCCGATTGAGTTTTTGAACTTTAAGAAACACTGCAACCAGAAATCTTTTTTTTTTTTCATTAAAAAGCACACCAGATCACGATAAAATCTTATAAAAGTACCCTTCTTTGTTTGATTAGTTATTTTTAAAACGCAAGACTTATTTTATTTTACTTAGCATAGATCACTAGATGGATCGGCACTTATGCCTAAGCTCAGTGTGTACTACAGTGTAATGATTATTATTATTTTTCTTTCACCGATTACAGTGTAATCGGTGAAAGAAAAATAATTACCTACGAATATAAAAATAAAAAATAATGTATTCTTATTTTATAACAAACTTAGTCAATGATAAATAAAAATGTTGATTTGACAGAACAATGAAATTTTGTCCTATGATCGATTAATATTTTCATTAGCATAGTATCCGTCAAAAATAACATTTACTGTGACTCTGCCTGTGTATTATCTGTGTATAATGTGAAGTGCTACAGTGCACACATGTATGCATGTTTATGAATGTTTTATGGCTAC